ATGTAATTTATGGTTTATGAGTTTACTATATTTATCAAAATAGGACTTTTTATCGCAAGCTAATTACTTGAAATATAATATTTTGTTAATAGCCTATTACATTAATTAAAATTGCTTATATAAGGTATTTTTACATTAAATATGCTTTAATATCTAATTACCTATTTATAAGTACATTAGACAAAAGCTATACAACTACTTTTATTAGTATAATATACTCATATGATCAATATTGATCATGTTTTGATTAATGAACTAATATTTTATTTTTAAATGTTGAAAATAATAATTGTAATAATACTCTAGAAAAATGTCAATGATTAATGATTTAAGTAAACATAACAATGAATATAATTTAGTTTTTAAAATATTTTTACTCGTAAATAACAAATACATCAATTATATTGTTGATCACATGATAATGATTGGCCACAAATTATTGATACCTGGTAACAACTTATTAACAATTAAACATAATTTAATAATAGGGTTACAACAAACTTGATAATGAAATATCATTGAATTTTTATGATTATTATTATAATATATTATATATATTATTATATGAATTTTTATAAATCACAATTATGAGCAGGTAACTCACATAAATTGCAAACTATAACTCTAAAACACAAGTAACACTGGTATATAATATTGATATTGCTATAATTTGTATTTTAAAATATTAATCATTTTATAATCATTCCAATGTTAAAACTATTATATGAACAATAAATATGTATGAATCATATTGTATGATAATATTTAAAAATATGTATACATAAATATATGATTGTCATTTATAATTATTAACTCGTAATCTAAAAGCATCACGCTTAGATAATGACTAGCTGAACTCATTACGATTTAATCTAGCTCTATTTTAAATAGATATTTTTAATAACCTTAAACAATTTTTATATCCTTCATGCATGTATTATATTTGAAATATAAAAACAACAAGATCAAATAAAAGTTTAAAACAAATTCCAGCAATGTATCATTGTATAGTATATTGCAAAATATACGTACAGTGAGTGTACAGCATAAGGGATTGTCATTAAATAAAAGTTTAAATTTTAATATCAACGCTTTGGACCAAATCAAGACTCTGGAGCGCAATCAGGAGATCCCATATAAGGGCGCCTTCTGCGACCTCGTCTGGTCCGACCCCGAGGAGGTGGACACGTGGGCCATGAGTCCGCGGGGCGCAGGCTGGCTGTTTGGCGCGCGCGTCACGCATGAGGTGAGAGAGAGGACACGTGACTCGGACTGAGACGTACTTTATTGCAGTTCATGGCTCTCAACAATTTGGATCTGATCTGTCGCGCGCACCAATTGGTTCAGGAAGGCTTCAAATACATGTTCGACGAGAAGCTCGTGACGGTTTGGTCGGCGCCCAACTATTGCTACCGTAAGGAGAGTGCGATCTCTATTACAGTATCTCTACTCATGTCTTCCATCGATAGGGTGCGCCAATGTGGCCGCAGTGCTCGCCTTCCGGTCGGTGGACGAGCGCGAGGCGAAGATCTTCGAGGCGGTGGCCGACGCAGAGCGCGTGGTTCCCGCGCGAAACGTTTGTCCGTATTTCCTGTGAATAAAGTGTTTTCACTTCAAAACGTGTTGTTTTCCCTTCTCCTCCAAACACGCGCCGATCAGCGCCTGAACCGCGAAATCACTCTTAGATAAGGGAATCAAATACTCTTTACTCACTAATACAGAGCGCAGGCGCACATCGAGTGCCGACAAGTGGTTGCGTGTCAACAGCGGCTCTGGCGAGTCGTCGGCCGCGAGAAGGCTTTCGACGGCCGCCGAGAGCGGCGCCGAAGCCAACACTTGGAGGCGTCTATACGTCGAGTTGCGAATTACGCAGCACTGGGAGAGCGGCGCCTTTTTTGGGGAATAATTGTTAAATCGGGGAATCCGTGAACAGAGATATTACCAGAATTGACAGCTCGTGAGAGTGCGGATCGCCGAAACTCTTGCCGTTGTCTGCGGGAAAGGATTCGTATAGTTTTGGGACAAACACTTTGCGAGAACTGACCGATGAATAGGAGGGCGCTGTTCGGCACGTCTTTGAACACTTCGAAGTGATGTCTGTCGGCGTTTGCGATGAGAAAGTCAAAGACCGCCAGATCTACGATATCGAGGAGTCGCGGCCGCAGAGGAATGCGCTGAACAACTGCCGCACAGAAGTCCATCTCGCGCTCCCAGGGGGCAAAAACGCCAGGCCTATAGGTGCGCTGCCAGGGGTTGCGAACGCGTTGCAGCTGTGGGTGGGGGGAGGGGTGTAGAGCAGAGTTAGAATGTATTAATAGATGAATAGAAACCTTGTATTTCGTTGGAAGCATGAGATGAAGCGATCCCTCGAGACGGCCTTCGAGGTCACCGCAAACGGAGTCGAAAGACGAACAGTAATGGCATTCGCCGTAAAAACACGAGTCGTTTGTGAAGGTCGCCGAAAGGGCGGCGCTCGACACTGCCCTGAGTTCGGAGAGACGCAGACGCCGCGAGACCACAATCGGGACGACGCGGAGGTCGAGCAGACGGCTGAGATGGAAGGCTGAGAGCGGGAGTGAGAGAGAGTCGGAGGAAAGGGAGGGAAGGGCTTACCGACGATCTCGCCGTTGTGTCGATCTGCGCCGGCGTAAGGATCGCCCGAAACCACGTGTTGTCTCGAGTATCGCTGCGGTTTGAAGAGCGCCCGCTGTTGGCCATCGAGTTCGAGAAGAAGCTTTGGTGTGGGAGAGGGGGAGGGGTGTAGAAGAAGTAGAGAAGATTTAGAGTGTATTAATAGAGCGAAGGATACAAACCTTGAGTTGAGTTCCGGTGCGCGAGACGTCTGCCCGAAGCACACGTGATGTCTTCAGTGTCCGCAAAACGAGCGACAATTGCGGCGCTTTCGGCGGCAAAAGCTGTCGAGCGGTGACCCACGAGTGCGCCAAAGACCACACGTCGGCGACCGGCGGCTGTTCGGCGTTGAGGTCGAGTTGGAGGGCGCGGAGAAGAGCGAGCGCTTCGGAGGACGTGTTGAGCGCCGGGAGCGGGAGTTTGGCCTCAATTTTTGCGGCGATTCGGAGCGAAATGTCGTCTTTGGAGGCGTTTTTCGGTCGCATTTCGGCGAAAGAAACGATTATAAGACTCGACGACGGCTTCGACTCCGACTGAAAAGAGAGCAAAGTTTGAGAGAAGAAGAGACGCAAAAGACTTCACCTGAAAGTCGTCGAAGAAGAGGACAAAGTAGAAGACCATAAGAGCGGAGAGAAGACAACAGAGGAGGAGAACGGAAACGATTCGCGTCTTCAGCGAAGACATTGTTTTGAGTCGTCAGCTGTTTGTCGACGTTATTTGTGGACCGAAGAGGAAACAAATGCAGAAAATGTCAACAAAAGTGATTCGAAGCGAAGAGCCGAAGAAGACTTTGCAGCAACTGATCCAACGCTGCGTCGACCGCAACCGCGCCGACGGACAGCCGCTCTTCAGTGTCGGCCTTTCGGGCGGAAGTATTCCTTCGGTTTTGGCCGAAGTGTTGCCGCAATTGTCTTGCCTAAAGCGCTTTACCGCCGAGAAGAAGACGCTGCTTGCGGAGCACGGGAAGCTTCTGGGCCTCAGGTGCACGCCTCACATAGCCGCGCTTCACTACGGAGCTCACGGGCGAGACCGCCGGCTTGTCCTGATTGCCGTCAATCCCGCGCTTTCGCCGCAATCGGCGGCCGAAGACTACGAGCGCGCGATTCGGCGCTCTCTCGACTGCGCGGAGGCCGACGAGTGGCCGCGCTTTGACCTCTTGTTACTGGGAATGGGTCCCGACGGCCACACGTGCTCTCTCTTCCCGAACCACGCGCTGCTGCAGGAGAAGCGCAAATGGGTCTCTTTTTTGACGGATTCGCCGAAAGTGAGTGTCGTTTAAAAGGAAAGCCTATGTCTGAGTCTATGTCTGTCCACAGCCGCCGCCGTCGCGCGTCACTCTCACTCTCCCGGTGCTCTTGAAGGCCAAGTGCGTCGTCTTCTACTCGACGGGCGCCGGGAAAGCCGACACTCTTCGGCGCATTCTCGTGGACGCGGAACCGCTTCCCGCAGGTCTCGTGCGCCCCTCAGACGGCGACCTCTATTGGGTGGTCGACGGCGAGAGCGGGCGACTCATTCCCGACTCAATGCTCACCAAAATGGCTGACTTGTGATCACGTGATGTGTGTTTGTATTGATTGCTATGTTATGTAATAAAGAATATATGAATGCATTGAGAGTTGCGTTCATTGACTGCCGGAAGGGTTGACGACCTGTGAGTCCGTCTGCGCAGACGCACAGCAAAGGGTGTGTTTGACTCGTCCTAAGACTCCATTTGTTTACTCCAAGACTTGTGTTCCGCTTCTCCGATGTCTTCTGCACTTCCAACACATCCACCGCTTCTCCTGTAATGGCGTTAACGCAGCCCTCAGTCAACTGCAGTCTCGACGACATCGATCTCAACGCCCTTAAGGTGTGTCCCTATTCTGCGCCAACGTCTGTCCATTTCTAGCCCTGTCTCCCCTCAGGACCCCGCGGGCATCTTCGAGCTCATCGAAGTGGTCGGCAATGGCACGTATGGCCAGGTGTACAAGGTAGGACGCGCCACGCCCTCCATTGACCACTTCCTCTCACTCGCTCTCATTACAGGGCCGACACACGAAGACTGGCCAATTGGCGGCCATCAAGATCATGGACGTGACGGAAGTGAGTTCCCGTCGCCTTCTCTGCGCTCTTCTTATTTGCTTTCTCTCTCTCACAGGACGAAGAGGAAGAAATCAAACTCGAGATCAATGTCCTCAAAAAGGTATTCCCCTTTCGCTCCCTTTCCTCTCTCATGCCTTTGCATCCGTTGTCCAGTATTCACACCACCGAAACGTCGCCACATATTTCGGCGCTTTCATCCACAAGAGTCCGCCCGGAAAGGACGACAAGCTTTGGGTGGGTTTGTCTTCCCTTTAAGCACTTCTTTGTCTTCAACTCTCTCTTTGTCTTCGCAGCTCGTGATGGAGTACTGCGGCGCCGGTTCCGTCACGGATCTCGTCAAATGTGAGTTCTTCGGCGCCAAAGCCTTTCGCTAATTCTTGTCTCCATAGCCACCAAAGGCCAGTCTCTGCGCGAGGAGTGGATCGCATACGTGTGTCGAGAGATTCTGCGCGTGAGTCCCTCTGTCCTCCCGTCCCTCACTTCCGGTCACTGTCTTCCTCTCGTCCGTAGGGTTTGAGTCATTTGCACGCGAATAAGATCATTCACCGCGACATCAAAGGCCAGAACGTGTTGTTGACGGACAACGCGGAAGTGAAACTCGTCGACTTCGGGGTTTCCGCGCAATTGGACCGAACTATTGGTCGCAGAAATACGTTCATTGGAACGCCCTATTGGATGGCACCGGAAGTGATTGCGTGCGACGAGAACCCGGACGCCACGTATGACAATCGCTCTGATCTCTGGTCGCTGGGCATAACGGCGCTCGAGATGGCGGAGAACACGCCCCCCCTTTGCGACCTGCACCCGATGCGCGCGCTCTTCCTCATCCCTCGCAATCCTCCGCCGCGTCTCAAGTCGAAGAAGTGGTGCAAAAAGTTCCAGTCGTTCATCGAGACGGTGCTCGTGAAGGACTACCAGCAGCGGCCATACACTGACCAACTGCTGAAACACCCCTTCATCCGCGACCAGCCCACCGAACGCCACGTCCGCATTCAACTCAAGGACCACATCGACCGCTGTCGCAAACACAAGCGCGGAGAAGACATGCGGTTCGCGGCTCCCGGCCAACAGTCGGATGACGACGACGACGACAGCGCCGCCAACAACGAGTCGGCGCGCGCTGACGAACACGACTCCACTCTTCGGCGCGCAAACGACCAGACGCTCACTGACCGCGCGGCCAAACCCAAGGTCGCGGCGGCCGGGCCTTCGCGCGACGCGCACCCGGCCAACCGCCCGCTGCCGGTGCCGCCGAACCGCGTGATTGTAGTCCCGGATCCGCCGCCGCCGTCGAAGCCGTTGCCGCCGATTCCCGTGGAGGCGGAGAAGCGGCGCCCGAACTCCGGACTCTTCAAAGTGGCGCAAATGCAAAGACCCGAAGATCTGGACGTTTTGGCGGCGCAGTTGACGGAATTGGGCGGAGCCAACGGTCACCACAACAACAACAAAGCACAGCCACAACAGCGCCGCTCACGTGAACACAAACCGCACCAAAAGCGACAACAGGAACACAAACCGACGCCTCCGCCGCCGCCGCCGGCCGTCGATTCGGACGACGACGAGGAGGAGGAGACGGAAGACTCGCGCACGAGAAACGACGGAACGCTTCTCGCGTCGGATCCGCCGCGCCCTCTGTCTGTCCTCTATATATATATATATATATCTCTTCTCATTGCCTCTCTTCTCCGTTGCAGACCCCCAGACAGTCACGCCCCCAATCGCCCGCTGCCGCCGCCGCCCGACGCGCAGCCGCCGTCGAAGCCTTTGCCGCCGATTCCGCGCGAAGACAACGACGGAACTCTTGTGTTGCGACGGGTGAGACATTCGGCGAACGCCTTCCCCTCTCACGCCCTCTCTCTGCCCGCAGAACGACTCGGAAGGACACTCGTCGCGCGCCTCGGGCGCCATTCCCGACCTCTTGTCACAACACGTGACCGAAAAGGCGGACGAAGTGTCGGCGCTTTTGTTGCAATACAGACAACAGTGCGGACAAACTCCGCCCCTTTTGCAGAACAAACAGCGCTCGTTCCTCACGTTCGGCTTCTCCGCCGGAGGGGCCACTCCCTCGCCGCGGCGCGAGTCGCACGTGAACGTGAACGTGGCGCCGGCCATCCACGCGGACACTCCGGAGATCCGCAAATACAAGAAGCGTTTCAATTCGGAGATCCTTTGCGCCGCCCTCTGGGGCGTCAACCTTCTCATAGGCACCGAATCGGGACTCATGCTTCTTGACCGCAGCGGACAGGGAAAGGTGTATCAACTCATCTCGCGGCGCCGTTTTCAACAGATGGAGGTTCTCGAGGGACAGAACATCCTGATCACCATTTCCGGCAAAAAGGCGCGCGTCCGCGTCTACTATCTCTCGTGGCTCAAGAGTAAGATCATCCGCACGGACCAGGTATGCCTCACCTCCCTTTCCTCCCGTCGCTAACGCTCTCTCTATCGCGCAGCAAATCGAGAAGCGCAGCGGTTGGATCAACGTGGGAGACCTTCAGGGCGCCATTCACTTCAAAATCGGTATTCCTTTCCCTCACTCTCTCTCTCACTCTCTGACTGCGCTATGACTACCTATGCTTCCTCAGTGGTGTGGCTCATTCCCCAACACGTGTCGAAGGACTGGGAGAACACGTTTCGGATTTGGAGCGGAAACGGTTTGTCTTTCTTTCGCCACACCACTCCCGAAGCACGCCTCCCACGCCTCCTCCTCCCACTCACTCTCTCTGCCTTCTCTCCCGCAGTCAAGTACGAGCGGATCAAGTTCCTGGTGATCGCACTTCGCGAGAGCGTCGAGATCTACGCCTGGGCGCCCAAACCCTACCACAAGTTCATGGCTTTCAAGTCGTTCGCAGATCTGCAACACAAGCCCCTCCTCGTGGACATGACCATCGAGGAGGGACTGCGTCTCAAAGTCATCTACGGCTCTTCGCACGGCTTCCACGCCGTCGACCTCGACTACGGCCAGGTCTACGACATCTACATCCCCGCCCACGTGAGTGCCCATTGGTCGCCCTGTCTGTCCAGTCACTATAGCCCCGCCCTCTCGTCCGCAGAGCCAATCGGCGATCACTCCGCACACAATCATAACGCTTCCCAATTCGAAAGGACTGCAACTTCTGCTCTGTTATGACAGTTGAGTAACGCTTTTAACGACGCTTTTCATAATGAATGCGTTTCTGTGCAGACGAAGGCGTTTACGTCAACACTTACGGCAAAGTCAGCAAAAACGTTGTCCTCCAATGGGGAGAGATGCCGACGTCGGTCGCCTTCATCGGCACGGGACAGATCATGGGGTGGGGCAACAAAGCCATTGAGATTCGCGGCGTCGAGACCGGACATCTGGACGGCGTCTTCATGCATAAGAAGGCGCAGAAACTCAAGTTCTTATGCGAGAGGAACGACAAGGTCGGGCACTATCTCTACATTTTATTTTCATTATACGCTTAAAGCGTACTATTGTATAAACGAGTGGACCACCAGTGGGTGTGTGCTCTTGTTCTTTGGCAGTGCTCTCGGAATACTTCAATGCAATACATGTCCACCGATTGGGTGCTGAGTACAGATCCGGTCATTTATATGCAAACCTATTATTTGACAAATTATTGTTGACTTTTCTATTGGCAAGCCTACTTTAAGTGCTCATAACTCCCGTTCCCGACGTGACCGTCAGAAAGAAGACCAGATCTGTACTCAGCACCTGTAGCCCAATCGGTGGACATGTATTGCATTGAAGTATTCCGAGAGCGCATTCATAACTCGTACTCTTCTGCTGTTTGCCGTCCTCTCGAGTCTCACTCTCTCTACTCTCTGCAGGTGTTCTTCTCGTCGGCCAAAAGCGGCTCTTCGTGTCAGATCTACTTCATGACCTTGAATAAACCAGGAATGGCCAATTGGTAACGAGAGGACTCACGGATCACTTCTTTGTGCCACAAAACCCTTTAACCCTTTTTTCGCTCAAATTTCTTAATTTTTGTATAAATAAACTCTTTTTCACGTAATTTCTGGAAACCCTTCTGACGTCACATCAAAACAAATGTTCAGAAAGTGTTTCGTCTGTTTGGCGGCCAATTCGCGGCCGACTCTCGCGCTCAACAACAACCTGATGGGCGCCCGACTCGACGCCACACTCGCGGACGGCCTTCCTCTGAGTGCCGAACGGCGCCGACGACTGGAAACCCATTTCTGCCGTTCAGTTGAGTCCGCGTTCGGCTTCTCCTCCGAAGAGAGTCTGCGAACGGCGGGAGTCTGTCATCAGGCTTTCGATCTGCACCTGCGCTCCGAAGAGGCCGTCGACGACAGCGTCCGCGAGATTGCGCTCCACTTCGCGCCGCAAGACGTGCTCTTCAATCCGCAGGTCTTCGCTCTCAACGCCCGCACTCTTCGCCGAAGACTTCTCGTCCTCAAAGAGCTGTCGTTCTGTCGCCTCTCTGTCGCCGCGTCCGACGCCCTCTTCCGCGCTGTCGTCCGACACTCTGCGCAGACGCTGCAAGAGCTGGGGTTCCGCGAGAGAGACACTCCTCTCGTGCGTCATCTGTTGGTCGCGGCGGACGTCGAGCCCGAGTTTCACGCGACTATCGAATCGCAGTTCGGCGCCGAAGACTCGCGAGACACGGCTGTGGAAGACGTTCGGCGCCGAGTGGTCGCCCAATACCTGTCTCTGCGGCTCTGCATCGACGGCGAGAGTGCGCGCGAACTCGTGGAGCGGAAGCGGACGCCACGCCTCTATTTGACTCCTCTGACGTCAGTCGTGGCCAACACTCGACTCCTCACTCGAGACCTGCACTTCTCGAGCGCACAACTCGTCCGAAATGCGGCGCTTCTGACGCTCGAGACGCAGAACGCGCGCCGAGTGGTTGAGCGCGTGTCACGTGTCGGCGAACACTCGTTGCGCGAGATTTGTCTCAAATACCCGAAACTCTTGGACACAAAGAGCGCCACAATTGAGGCCAACGTTCGACTGTTGCGAGAAGAGGGCTTCTCCGCGCGACAGGTCTCCAAAGCGCCGCTCGTTCTCTGCCTCGCGACCGACACCCTTCGCGCGCGCGTCCAACAAATGCGCGCCGACGCCACTCTCGCGGCCTTCGCCGACAACGACCGCGTCCTCCGTCTCGTGCTCTCTATGAAGACATCGTTGCGCCGATTGGCCGCTCTCCGCGCCGACGGCTTCTCCGCGCTCTCATTGGACCACTTGGTCGGAAGCCACGCTTACTTCGAGTCCGTGCGCCTCCGGACGACCAATGAGAGGGGCGGCATTGAGGCCTTCGTTTCGCAGCGTTTGGGCGCGAGTCTGGAGAGCGCGCGACCGACTGTCGGACGTCATCCTCACGAACAGCGATTCTGCGCAGAAAACGCGCTCAAAGTTTGGCTCTTTTTGGCCGAAGAGGCGGCCATGACGTCATCGCAACTCAAGAGCGGACTCTTCGTCGTGCTCTACGACTGCGCACTCGTTAGACGCGAGTTAGCGCTTCTTCGGCTCCGATTGGGCGCCGAATGGCACGAATGGCGAGAAGACGAACGCGTTCTCCAGTTATTGATATATTTCATTGAGAAAAAGTACGGCTTTTCGGGAAACGGCGTTTACGTGACGTCAGCCGTCGATGACGTAATCACTTGAGTTTTATAATGAAATAACTTATAAATACTTTTATAAATAGTTTATTTGACTTAAAACTCGATTACTTTCGAGCTTTAAATGTAAATAAATTTTGACATTAAATGTAAAAATAATTGATTTAAAAGGCGATGACGTCATCACTTGAGTTGAGACACGAGTTTCGCCGTCTTGTAGTCCGCGCGCAACTGAATGAATGTCAGCAGAAGCGAGCGCTCGAGAGCCACCTATTGTTGGAATAGATTTCAATTTTGAAACTCTGTGTTCCGATTGGTCGGCGCAACAATACCTCTTCCATAGCGTGGCGCAGGTTTTCGGGCGCAACGATGAGGAGGTTGAAGAGCGCGTGCAAAGCGGCGAACAGTTGCGACAGAAGGGGAGCGCCGAACGCCTCCACACACCGCCGGTACTCATTGAGGTCGCAGATGGCGACCATCGCGCCGACGGTCGTGAACTGGAACTGCAGGAAGTGGTCGACGAGCGCGCGGTGCAGTCGGAGTCCGAACTCCTGGAGAAGTGACGTCACGTTGTGGCCGTCGAGCGAATCGCGCATTCGTTGCACGTAAGCGTCCACAAAGCGGATCACTTTGGCGGAGGCCTAAGGGGGAGGAGTTAGACACGGAGAGAGAGAGCGATGACGTCAGTACTCACGGGAGTGGAGGCGGCGAGTGGAAGAGCGTCTTCCGTTTCCGGCTTGAAGTCGGTCTTCCGCTGTTCGGCGGCCAACAGCGCGCGAACCCAGCCCACGATGGCGGCGAGCGAGCGCTCGAGTCCGGCGTTGAGTCTTGTCTGGAGCTGTTGAGTGGTGTCGCGCTTCTTCTTGAGACACTCGGAATGTCTCGAAGTGTTTGCCACGAGAGGCAGCACTGCGTCGACGAACTGTTTGTCCGCCAAATGGCAGATGGCGTTGCATTGGCGCACGACTTCCAGGAAGTGCACGTCGGGAGCGGTGCGCGAGTCGGGCCCAGGAATGGCCTGAAGGGCGACTTCGACGCCGTAGTCGAGGTGTTCGGCGAACAGGTATTGCGTCTGAATATCGAACACGTGGAGAGCAGTGGCCGACAGGTCTTGCGGGCGACAGAGCGCGCGACAGCGTTGGAGCGCGAGTTTCGTCTCCTGGAGAACCGTTATTGCGATCTCTTCGCTCACGAAGGACTCCGAGTGGACATTGGTTTCGCTTTCGCCGCGACGACCGATGCGTTGCTGGAGATCGCGCTTCAGTTCGTGAAGACTCATTTGGAGCGCAGACGCCGTCGGGCGCTTCTGATGATTCTTCGACTCGTAATAGCGGCGCAAGAGTTGCGAACACTTGTCGCGCAAACACGTGGTTTCGGCGATCACGTAGTCGTCGAGATATCGCGCGAAGATGTGGCGCGAAATGCGCGTCAGGAACTGCTGGTCGAGCGCGAGAGTCGGACTGCGCGCCAACTGCTGCGCCAATTGCGAGGTCTGCGCGAAGAGGACGTGGAGGCGCGCGAGATGGCGGTCGTCGTGCGCGTCCGCCAATTGCGACAATTCCTTCGCCACGAAGTCCTGCAGTTTTCCGTGGAAGACGTTCAGCACGAGTTTGGCCATCACGTGGTCGGGCGCCGGGAAGACGTCGCGCACGACGCGTTCGGTGCGCGCGCAGAGGGCCGGGATCTCTGCGAACACGTTTCCCGAGTGCGACGAAAGCGCCGTCTGTTGCGTCTCAATGAAGGCGTCCACGCATTGCGAGAATCCCTTGAAGTGGACGAGAGTGGCGGCGATGGCGCGCATCCGTGTCCTGTCGTCCTCTCTGTGGGCGCCGACGAACGCCTCAATGAGTTGGCGTTCAATGGAGTCGTACTTCCGGGCGATGAGAGCGCGCGCGGCGTCGAAGCGCTGACCGGACGGCAGTTCGCCGGCAATCAGTTGCAGCTTCTGAATCACGTCCGCCGCGTCGTGCAGATCGTCGTCCGTGTCGTCGTCCGTCGCGTTGTCGTCTGTGCGCAGAAACCGCGCGAAACGAGTCATGAGTTTCTGCGCCTCGACGGCCCGCGCTCGCGGAGTGTTGACGCCCTCCAACTGGTCGCCCAAATAGACCACTTTGGCGGAGACGGCCGCCAGACGCGCGTCGAGGGCGTCGAAGGCAGTCTTGGAGCGACGCGTCAGGTCCTGCGCGTGCGCGACGGCCAGCCAATGGCGCTTCTCCTCTTCGCGACAAACCATTTCGAGTCGTTCGCACTTCTTCTCGTGCGAGTCGTAGACGGCCTTCAAGTCCGCGATTCCCGACTCAAAGGCCTCGCGAAGCGATTGCGCATCGAATGAGTCGTAACGGCCGGCAGTCGAGCGCCACGCGAGCCGTTCTACGAACTCGTGGCCGTCGAACGGGTCCTAAGAGTGAGACAAAGAGTGAGAGAGGAGTGGATTGAGGGGTGCGCTGAAGACCTGCTCCAATTCCAGCAGAAGAGACGACATTTCGCCCACTGTTTACATCCGAGCGGTTCGTCCGTCAATGACGTCCCCAAAGAGGAAACGCCCACAAAATGGGCGACTTTTGGGACGAAGTGTTGCGTTTGGGACTCATTGTCGGCGCGATCTTCCAATTGCTGTGCATTTCGGCCGTCGTTTGGATTCCGAGCGAAGAGAAGCGCGAGAAGAGCGACACTGCGGACGACAGCGACGCCGCGGACGACGCCGTCGTCGCCCAAAAGGAGGCGCAAAAGAGTCACCGAAAGAGCGGTTCGCGAGTCAAGAGCGACAACAAGAAGAAGCGGCGCTGAGTTTGGCTTTCATTTGGTTTTTGTACTAAATTAACATAAAATACATAAAGATGTCACGAAATGGGCTTTTATTGAATAAAACACTTCAGACGTCGGTCTCGAGACAGAGGGCCAGCGGACGGGCGCCGACCCACGGCTGTACGTAATGCGCGCGACGCGAGTCGTCGGAAGTGTCTGACGGCGCGGACATGAGATCGAAGGCGAGGAACACGGGCTGCGGGAGAGAGAGAGAGTGAATGGGAGAGTGTATGGGAGAGAGAGTGTGAATGCCTTGTGATCGCCCATTGGATGCGCGCTTCCTATGAGAGCGTATTGCGGCTGAAAGAGAGCGCGGATTAGAGGACCGAAAGAGCGCTGAAGACGACTCACGCGGGCGACGAGCGGGCGCGCGGACTGCGAGAGCAGGACGCGGTCACAGAAGGCGGGGCATCGGGTGGTCGCGTAGTGGACGTCTTGGAAGGGATAGGAGGGCGCGAAACGGATCTCGTGCTCGAAAAGGCGGTCGCCGAACGCCAGCACTTCTTTGTCGAACGCCAGGAGCTGTGGAAGAGGAGAGTTAGGAGAGAGGGAAGAGAAGACGACGAGATACTTGCGAAGGGATTGGGTTCGCGCGCGAAGAGGTGTTTGTCTTTGAATTCGAAGCGCTTTTCGTCGACGAGAAGAAGAACTCTTTGTTCGCCATCTCTGAAGACTAGAGGTCTCTGCGAGTCGTCCGAAGTTTGCGTCAAAGTCTGCGAAGAGCGGGAGTGAGAGAGAGAGAGAGAGCGAGAGGAGAGCGAAGGAATACCCGAATGAGAGAATCGGTGTCCAAACGGAAGTTGAAGTCTCCGAACAGGAAGTGCGGCGTCTCAGAGGTCACGTGTTGGAGGAGCCAATCGAGGGCGAGGCGGCGGTTGCGCGCGTAGGGGGAGGGGAAGCCGGAGGTGGCCACCACGTTGTCGGCGTCGTGGAAACTGCGGACAGAGAGAGAAAGAGAGCGGGAGTGAGAGGACAGGTGTGTGGCGGAGGAAAGGCATTACAGGTGAACGTTAATGAGGTCGAAGGCGACGCCCTCCCGAAGCCGCCATCGCGTCCGCATGAAACCCTTGCGAGACCACTGGCACTGCGGGAGAGAGAGAGAGAGAGTGAGGGAACGGGAGGACAGGTATGCGACGGACTTGCGGGAAGAAGTGTTGCGGGAATTTGCGTTTGTCTTTGAATGCGTTGTCTTCGATGTCTCCGGAGTGCACTTCGCGGCCGCCGACGGACTCAAAGCGTTGTTCTGCGAGAGAGCGAGAGTTGAATGACCTGAAGATGACCTCTGAGTTGACCTCTGAGTGAAACCTTTGAAGTTGAAAATGAAAGCGTTTTCCGCGAGACTCTTGTGCACGAAGTACGCGTTGGCCAACGCCTGCGCGAGAGTCAGACATTAGAAAAGGCGGCCATTGGTGGACAGTACTGACTGTGAAGGCGTCGTCGCGCGACAACAACTGGTCGACGAAAAGGCGCGCCGACGGGAAGTCTTGCTCCGAAAACGCGTTCAGAAGCGCGCGAACGAAAGGCGGCGTTCGGCGGGACTCGACTTCCGATTTTCCGCCGACTTCCTGACAGTGAAGGGCAACGAATTGCGGCCGAAGAGAGAGAAGAGTCTGAGAGAGAGAAGCGTTAGGAAAAAGGGAAGAGTTTTGCGGCCAAAACAGACGTCTTTGAAGCGCGCGATCCACGAGAGGAGAAGCGGTTCCGAGTTCTGCGGAGAGAAGGCGTGAAAAGCGGACAAAAAGTGGACAAAAGTCTCACGTCTTCGGCGGCGGCGAAGAGAGAGCCGACATTTGCGGTCACGAGAAGGGCTTTGACTGAAGACATCAAAACACACATCAATGACGACGTGTTTGCGTATAAAAGACGTCTTTTATTGAATTTGTCTACAATTAGAGGCCTTTATTATAAAAGCCTTTTTGAGAGCCGTTTTTGGCCAAAAGAGCGGCGATTTCTGGTTCCAAAGAACTCGCGTCGAGAGAAGAGGTTTGCGGGAAAAGCGCGCAACACATGGGAGTCGTGAACGTGAGGCTGGAGGGGAAAGGGAGGCATGAATGGCATGAATGACGTGACGACAGGTGTCTTACAAAAGGCCGCAGAGAACGACCTGAAGCGGCGCTGAGATCCACGGCATGCGCGAGAGGACGCCCCGACGCTCGAGTCGATCCATAAGGAGCGGCGGAAGAGTCATTCCGGGGGCGGCCATCGCGATGCGCGAGAACACAACCTGCGCGATGGCCCACTGCGCAGCCGTGCGACTCTTGCCGACGGGGGCGCCAGATTGGTCGACCACTTGGAGGCCGTCACGGAGTTCTCTGCGGAGAGGGCGGAGTCAGAGAGTGGGCGGAGAGAGAGAGCTTTCATAACTCACTGGAATCGCATGAGAGGAATGTTTACGCAATTGGCGGCCGAAACGGCTAGAAAGGGAACGAAACGCCCGACGACAGGAGGCGCCGCTTTCGCCAATCGGTTCAGAGAGAGCGCAGTCGCGAGCGCGCCGCCAGTGGCCACCGAATACGCCGTCGCGAGTTGGCTGCGCAAGAGAGAGGGGTTAGAGGACGGAGGGGGCGGACAGAGGGCTCACGAGAGGGGCAGCGGAGTGTCGCCGCTTCGGTTCGTGTAATTGACGACAGCGTTGAAGGACTGATTGAACCACTGCCAGAAGACGGCCGCCGAAGTGCTCTTGTAGTACGTGAGCATACCTGCGGGCGAGAGGGCGTGAGTGGGGGAACGGGAGGGCGCGGGAGGACTCACAGCCGGTGATGGCCATATTCATGGGCACCTGAGCCGACATTCGGCCGAAAAGAATCATTTTCTCTTCGGTCTCGGGATGAAAGGCCGAGTCGTAGACTAAGAGAGATAAGAGCTGTTAAGAGAGATAAGAGAGATAAGGATAGAGAGAAGACTGACTCTGTTTGTGGCGCCACAACTGCTCCTCCGAGAGGTCGACGTCTTCGCCGCGCCTAAGAGAGGGAACGGGAGGTCAGAGAGAGAGAGAGAGAGAGAGAGAGAGAGAGAGAGAAGCAATGATTGGGCAATACTTGAGGCGTCGGACGATTTCTCGCGATTCATGCAAATGATTGGACGAAACGAAAAGATTCAACGGATTTGTGGTTTGAAAGAAGTGTCGCGCGCGACCCCAATACGAGTCTACGAGAGAAACAATGAGAGAGAGAGCGAGAGAGCGGTCATTGGAGACAAACTCTGGTCGAACTGCGGACGCGAGACATCGATGCGAGTCATCGTTGTTGTAGAGAGCGGTCACGTGATGGGAGGGAGGAGTCGAGAGAGTGACGAAATGCCGAGTATTTACAGGAATGGCCGCGAGAGGGCGTCACGTGAGCGCCTGTTGGACGCGATCGAGACAGAGATCGGCCGCGCGTTTGGCGTCTTCTGAGACGAGAACGAAGTTCAGGAATCCGTGCGGAAGGCCGTCAACGACGTCAAGACAGACGGGACCTACAGGAGGGCTGTTAGAGACGGGTGGAGGACTGCAGAGGACATACCGTTCCACTTCTTGGCCATTTGGATGGAGTCGTCGAGACAGGCGTCGTATACGAGAGCCACGAGATAGAGAGGAATGTCGTGGAAGTCGAGGTTCGCGGCCATCAGTGGCGAGACGTACGCGTTGTTCGTCGCGGCGTTCAGTGAAAGCAGTTTCGCGGCCAACGGCGTCTCCGGGCACCGGTACCACGGCTTCGGAGGGGAAGTGGAGGCGGAGGGCGAGAGTTTGTGTCGCAATCGCGCGAATCGGTTGACGAGTTGGAGGTTTTGTGACGTCATTTGCGGCAACTCTTCGTCGGCGGGAATCTCGTCGTGAGAAATGAGCTCAAAGTCGGCGTCTACGCAGTCGATGTCGGCGTCCGGCGCGTAGGCCTCGAGACACGAGAGAAGGACTCCGAGCGGCAGAAGAGTGTCGACGGCTGTCATGAGACGAGACGGCGATCCGCGCGTCTGAAGCATGAATCTGGGGGTGGAGTGGACGGGGGTTAGAGGGCGTGGGAGGGGTTGAGAGGGCACTCACGGCGTGTAGAAACAGACGACGCCTTTGGGCCGCAAAAGCGGTTCTCCTTCGCGGCAAATGTCGTGAACGACGAGACAGAGAGCGAGCGAAAGGTTGCCGCCGGCGCTGTCTCCGCAGACGACGACGCGTCGGGGCCGGTAGCCGAGCGCCGGCACACAGGCGTCGCTCGCGAGCCAGAGGTAGACGTCGAGGATTTGCTGCAAAGCCGTCGGGTATTTGTTTTCGGGACTCAACGCGTAGTCGACGGAAAGGATCGCCGTTTCTATGGAAACGCCGTTTAGTTGTGGACACAAACAGGGTTTGTTTCACTCACGCGACAGCTTCACGGCCCACTGACCAAGGTACACTTCGTGGGAGTCCGGCGACTGCGCGACGAATCCGCCGCCGTGAAGGTGGAGGACAATGGCGTCCGTCGCGGCGTCGGGCGCGCGGCTCTGCAGAAGACGACAGCGAATGTCGGGAAGTGTTTGGCGGTCTTTGGTGCGCGCGACGGATGCGTCGGTCGCACTGATTGTCCACGTGGTCTGCGAGGGAACGAAGAGGTCTTTTGCGGCGCAGTTTAGGGGCGGAGAGAGAAGCGGAAGAGTGTTGCGAACGAACGGCGTTTCCGTTAGACCCCAAAAGCTTTTCACGAACTGAGAGAAAGAAAGGCTGTTATGAGGGCTGTAAGGGAGGGGGAGAACCCCACCTGGACGGAGGCGTTCTGCGCGATGTGAGCGACGGTTTGTGCGCGAAGTGTTTGGTCGAAGAGAGTGCGCGAGGAGTGGATCCACGACTGCTTCTCTCCGCCCGAATAGACGGCCATTAAAGCCGTGAATCCGTTGACCACTCGTCGCATCGAAGGACACAACCAGAAGGACGAGTAGACGCCGTACACGATATCGAGATGCGGCTGAAGGTCGCCGAAGACGCGCAACAACTGCGGGAAGTGTTGCGGAGGAGTGCCGAAGAGGTCGTCCGAAGAAGAGGCGAGGAATTGGTCACAGAGGTCGAGGCCTGCGCTGAGCACCTGTCGGGGGAGAGGGGGAGTGAGAGGAGGCGTGACGTGAGACGAGGGCTTACTTTGGCGACGGGCAAGAGGTGGGCGCGCAGGTGGTGTTCGGGCGACACGCAGACCACGTGACCGAAGCGCAAGACGAGGCGCGCGAACGTCCAGAACCCGTTCGCCTCCACATCTCTAAAGTCATAGTTCTTGGCGGCGGCGACGAGACGGCGGGTGCGCGGCAGGAGGTCGCGACACACGGCCGCCAAATCGGGACTCTCGCGGACGAGTCGGGCGTCGACTTCGGCGAACACGTGATCCAATTGCGAGGACAGCGATTGGTTGGAGTCGACGGCCAAAGAGAGCGTCATTTCGTTGACAAAAGGCGACTGAAGAGCCCTCTCGCGCGCGGAAGCGAAGACTGAATACTGTTATTGCGATTGCATTGCAATGAGTATTGCAATCATTGAAATGTCAAACGATTTCGTCACTCAATGTGAGTCACAAACAGTGCAAAAGTATTCACAGTTTTAATACCTTTTTCTCGGACTTTCAGTGCCGTGCAATTCTAACTCATTATAGAAAACATTTTTTTAGATTCATTAGTATGTAGAGGTCGTTATTCTTTAATACACTAAATTGTCGTTTTCAGAAATGTAATTTAAGTTAACAATGTTTTAATATAGACCTCTATTCTCCGTTAAATTCTCTATTGAATTGATATATCACATAAAGCAGGTTTTCCATATAAAAGTGGTCACTGCGGCCAAACCCGAGGTCAACCGGACTATGGATTACGTATTTGGACTCCTCGTTCAAAACTCTATAAAAATCGAAATGCATTCTGAGATGAGAGTACGGAAAAGCTGTTTTCTATAAATTGATTTGCTTTCACACACATGTGGCTCATAACTGCTGAGTACAGCATTGGAAAGAGAATTTTATTTCCTTCAAGAAATGTTTGGTTTTAGGTATCTCTAAATTATTCATGTTTAAGAACCTCATCGATACGAATATTTATGGATAATTTGATACTAACTTAGCATTAATTTTTACTAAATTTATAGGAAAGGGATGATTTATTCTGGAAAAACTAGATTTCAAATCTAGTGTAAAGAAAATATCATTAAAACTAATATTATAAAGTTTTTTATAACTTTTATGTTTTATATCTGTAGTGGGAATATGAAATAAACACATTGTGATATTTTTAGAAATCAATAGTAATCGAGAAAGATTAATTATAATCATCATACTACGTGGTCATAGTCATAAACATTTCAACTTAACTTGCTTATTCATACAAATATGTATCAAAAACTAAAACTAATAAAAAACAAAAACTTGTTTTATAAAAATTTCTGATAAATACTCAAACATAATGTGCTATTTTGAACATTAAATCATATATTTGTATGAATAAGCAAGCTAAGTTGAAATGTTTATGACTATGACCACGTAGTATGATGATTATAATTAATCTTTCTCGATTACTATCGATTTCTAAAAATATCACAATGTGTTTATTTCATAT